CAGAGTCTGAAGTGGACTCTGTCAAGGTTTCTGAGAGGTGTTGGTGCTGCTGTTTTACGAGATGAGTGCACTGGAGACATTCAAATACTTATAGCTCAGGTGACTTACTATCCATTATGGTTTACTGTGGTCCACTAAAAATAAAGAACGAGACATTACTGCCACTTGTCAAAAGACAAAACCTTCAAGCAGAAAAAAACCCAGACTTATTTGACTGGAGATGTTAGCTGGTGTTGCTTTGTGATTACTGCAGGGTAAGGTGTTATCATTCACACTGTGCCTTCACACAGTCTGGTTGAGAAGTGACAGGTAAGTCCCTCTTGAAATCCAGCTCTGGATCAGAAGGGGGGGGAGCAGCACCTCCAGAGCCTGGTGTGGTGCAGGACCCTCTAGAGACCTGACTAAGCAGTGACCCAAAGTGCTGGTCAAACTGCCAGTATATTGGCCTTTCTTCTTTCCAAACAAACAGCTGCATTTAGAAGATAATACCAGTCACAAACATCAAAAGGCCATACTCGGAAAAACACCAGGACTTCAGGCTAAATGTGTTTTCTGAGGCTGAAAAACACTCTAATAGGAAGGACAAAGCTGACTTGGCCAAGGGCTGTCCATCTCCCCTGAGCTCAGCACAAAGGGATCCCACAGTTGCACACAACTCCAGGAAGGAACACACGTTCAGGTAACATCTGAAGCAGCTGAATCGCAGGAAGCGCAGCCGCTCCCACAGCACGACTGCAAATGGCCTTCCTGTATCTCAGACTGTCCCTTAGGACTTAGAATGTTAGTCCCCAGATCATAATCAAATCACCTTGAGGATTACAGGGCATAAAACCATTTCTGCACACATACTGCAATATGATCAATGCATTCCCAACCAGAACTACTACTGTGTTCTGCGAGTCCCAATCTTTGAGTGGTATTTTTAGCAAACCTACCTTTAGCAGCCACTTAGAAACTATTCCTTCACATCACCATCACCTCTTCACAGTCAGGTCAAATGACACCCTCAATTTAAGTGCTTTTGCATGAAGTTGTAAGCACAGAGACCAGCAGACATCAGCAAAATGCTGATTTTTACTACAAAACTAACCATTCATTCTACCCCAAAACTCATGCACACGTGCCTATTGACTCTGCTTGGTGCCTGCAGCTGATTCCCTCAAATCCCATCCTGCCTAAGGACAACACCCAGCTGCTTTGGTCCTTGCCAACAGGACAGAAAAGCCATGTTGACATCTGAGTTTTGTCCTACCCATTGCATTCCTTTTCCCAGGGATGTTAACCCCAGCACCACCACCTTCCTGTGCAGCAGGATGTGCAACTGCCATCTGTTTTGCTGGCACTTCTTCAAAAAATATTTAAATATCAGTGGAACTTACAATAGTGCAAATGAAACATGACAAAAACTGTAACACAACATAATGTCCCCCTGGAGTAAATTCATGATGTTTGAAATGGGAGAAATCTCTGTCCAAGTGCTCACAGTCCCATCTCCCACCAGTTTGCAAGAACTCCCTCCGCACCCACTTGTGTCAGAGCACGCCTGTTCCCAAAATGTGCACATAGGAGCTGCTTTCCACAAACCTTTTCCATTTTCAGCTGGATTAAACCATTTCTGTGCTGGTGCCAGGGAATGATCACGGAAACAGTAAGGAGCTGCACAGCTTAAATACATCCAGCACAAGGAACCGGCAGTAACATCCTGACCAAAATTTATCCTATTTACCTGTTCCTTTTTCACTTCTCTTTAATAAACTGGACACTGAACAGCAGAAACAGCTCTAGTTACAGCAATCCTTGATTACTTATGCTTAAAGTTTACCTTTACCTTTCAAATCCCTTCTGAATTTGGAAATTAATTTGGCTTTTCTGTATTACATCTCTTACATTTTCAAATGTTATCTCACCTTCACCAGGATTTTGTTCAACACCCTCATCTATGTGATCTGTTTGTTCATTTATCTGTTAAGGGGTTGTTTCTTCAAGCCCTCATTACTGGGAGCCGCTTCTGTCCTTTCAGACCCCAAAAGTGCAAAGTGCAATCAGCTGCTTCCAAAGCTCTGCCCTCCCTTAGCAGCAATGACAGTAAGAAAGAGGAAACTGAAGCTGGAGGCTCCAGACTCAGATGGGTTGATTTGGGCTGCACCTTCCAGCACCTCTTCCCACCACTCTGAATGACCCTCAACCATCCCCTGAAGCAGATGGAGCAGCGTCAGCCCCTGTGCTGAGCATCATCGTGCAGAGCACACAGTCCTGCAGGCAGAGCACCACCTCTGTGGCATCTGCCTGTATTCCCACAGCTAAAGCAAACTCTGAGACATATCTCAGGAATGTAAGAGCCTTCGCTGATCTGCACAATTTTCAACAAATGCTCTGTGCATGGCACTTGACATATTTATTGGGTGCTCTGAGATCACGGGGAGTTTTGACAATAATCGTATTAGACCCAACCATTTTGTCTATGTTGCACCTGATGCGGCATTTATGTTATGAACACAGTCATTGCAAAAAGAGAGTGACGTTGTCAACCCCTGCTCCAAACAGCTGTTTTGCTCAGTTGTTTCATGAAATAACTGAAAATTGTAGGTAGGCATTACATGGAATGCCTAACCCCCGAATATTTAGGATTATTATATGAAAAGGACAGGAAAACTATTTGCTACGTTACATTCCTTTATGAAACTTCACAGTCTTTAAGAGATTTCGTCTTGAAACCACACTGGCAAAACCTGTCACTTTTCTGAACTCATCCTCACCGTTACAATTGAGCCTATTTTCTGCAGTGACTGAAAGTTTGAGTCATTTAGCACAAAAATGCTCCCACAACAGGATTCTAAAAGTAATGCCACTCATTCCACAATTTCTGTGCTGTATTTTGTTCAACAACCATGCAGAACCATCAAGCAGAGAAAGAAAGTGCCCAGGATTTCCTGAGTCGCAGACTGCCTCCAGCTGCCACTCCTCCCATCAGTGACTGATTTCACAACACAACCATAACACACGGAGGCTTCATTTTCAAAGTTTTGCCCCCTTTCTCTTAGTGTTATTAGATATCATTTTTCAATGTCTGCATCCTGCACAGATCATCCTTTGAATTTACAGTCTGATCCATTTCCCTCTTAATTTAGTAGGAGCTGCAGTGGACACAGACAGGTCCTGACAAGGTACAACTTTTCTGCAGACAGTGGAGTAACACAGGCAAGAAAACAGTGCCACTAAATCACAAGAATAATTTCCTGTCAGTCTGAGCCTGAAAACATCTGAAACAGTCTCACACATCCCTCTCCATCATCAACACCGCTCATGCCTTTTCCCATACAGTGCATCACATTTCCAGCTTCTCCATCCCAACAGTGGGTGTTCCCAAGAGTTCCTCTGCTCCTCGTGAGGGACAGAAAAATTCCCCAGGGAGTGGGAGAAAACCAGTATCACTAACCAGACAGGAAATTAGGGAGTGGAGATATTGTGGCCAGGACACGGAGCTGCCAGTGCTCACTCCGAGGAGCCAGGCTGGCTGTGCCCCCAGTGGTGCTGCCTCGATGGTGACTTGCCATGTGAGCAGCATCACAGAGCATCTCCTACCCCCACCCCAAAAATACTCCACGGCAATAATTTCAGGAGAGGGACTGTTGCCATCTTCCTTGGATACAACACTACTCTTCCTTTATTTACCTTGCTGATCTCCCCAGAATGGGTCTGGTTTGAGTCTCAAGCAGTGGCCTGGCACTGCTGTTTGCAAACTGTATCCCCTCAGCCCAGTCACCTTGTGGCAGCAGGGCTCGTGCCCAGGGATGAACTGGGTTTTGTAACTCCCCATGTGGCATTTTGTACACAAAGTCCTGGAAACAAGCTGGCATTAAAGAGGGCTCAGTGCAGCAGGGGTGTTGTTTCACCAATCCTAGCAGTTTGTCTGGGCTTCATTTATATTCAGACATCAAGGCAGAGCAGCTGCGAGACCCCCAAACGATAGTGGTTGTTTTCATGTCAAAACTGTGCAAACAGCTCATATGTCAAAGTGACAGCGTGTCCCTGGGACACTCCCCACACCCAGCAGGTCTGGCTGGTGCCAGGGGCTGCAGCCCCAGCCCGTGCTGCTCCTGCAGCGAAGGTCCCAAGAGGCTGCACCTGCCCGCACACACTTCATCCCCACGCACACACTGTGGGGCACAGCCGGAGTTTGATACATTTTCAGCATAGTTTTTCTTGCTGAGAATGCTGAACAGGCATTTCCTGCCACTGCTCCACCTGGGCATAGTCCTGCAATTCTACTGATTTAAGCCCCAACCCAGCGCAACATTTAAAAATTTTGTTACACTTAACAGTTGATTAATTTAATTTCAGTAAAACTAAATTAACTTCACACCATTACAGCCTTAAAGGTGTACACACACATAAAGGTTGCAATCTAACAGATGCACAACTTCTTGGGGTGACAATACGCCTCCACCTATCAGTATTTTTAAATTTGAATGTTACACTGCTAAGTCTCAGAATTCTCCATTAATCAAAATTCACCAAATCACTGTAGGATTGCAGCCCTATCAGTACAGGTCAGAGAGTACATTTGTTAGGAGCAAAAGCACGTTGAACAGTTGTTCACATTGAGCTGAACAACCAGATCCCTCTTCTAAATCATGCGGAGATGGGAAAACCAAGTGTGATTCAAGTGTCAGCATCGCACTGTGGGGTTCGGCCCCCACTCACAGGGTGCACTGCATGGAGAGATCCACACACCTGATCACCAAAGCCCACGGGGCTTCAGAGTCTGAAGCACTGTGAAGCATACAGAGAGGAAACAGGATCAGCCCCACGTGGCATCCCAATTCCCTCTTTCCTCTTAGATCCAAAAAAAGCCCCCGAGTGCTGCTTTTTCACAGCCAGGCAGGTGTTGGGTCTGATGTATCTGACTCACACTCCCTGGCACGGGGAGGAACCAAGGGTCCCACTACTGCATTAGACTTTGCCTCCAAGAGACAAATCTTCACAGGTTTCATTAAATATGCTTAGACTGTGGGGTGCTTTAAAACCCCGTGCAGTTACAAGGGTGCAGCCTGCCCCCACTTAAATGCAGATGCTTTAAGAATAATTATAAATTGCTCAATCTCCATGTGAAGAAGCAGCAGCAGAACAGAGCTGAAACGTGCAGGGAAGGCGGCAGCACAGGCAGTCCTGAGGACACCAGCAACTGCCTTTCAGCTCTCACATTTATAAATATTTTACTTCCAGCCAACTGTGCCCAGAATAACAATTTTCTGCCTGAAATCTCCAAGCTGGTGCCGGGAGGCTGTCAGGGACTCGCTTTCCCGGGACCCTCTCGACCTGTTGGGAAGGGGTCCGGGTCTCCAGAGGAGCGGCTTCAGAAGGATCTGCCCCTAGTGGGAAGAGGCACCGAGAAACAAACACTGAGCATCCGTTCAGCTGATCGCATTAGGGCTTCACGCTGCTGCCGCCACTCAGCCCTCTGCCGATGCAGCCATCCGTGCGCTTGGACAAACATCCAGGCAGAGGGAATGGCTAGGTCTGGAAACGTCTGCAGCTGCAGAAGGCTGCAGAGCTCTGCCGTGGAGCAGCCGTAGAGAGAGGCTGTTTCCCCGAGCAGGAGAGCGTTATGAAACACGAGTGCACCGGCTGTGCCTGAGGATTTTGGCAGCGCAGCGCGGAGGCTGCTTCCATCCAGCCTGTTGGCGCAGGAGGCCATGGAGCGGTTCCCTCCCGCCGGCCCCCGCAGGGCGCAGGACCCCGGAGCCCCGGCCCGGTGAGACACGGGGACCCCGGCGAGCCGCAGGGACCGCGGGGACGGCAGCGGTGAGCGGGGCCGGGGGAGGGCGGACAGGGGGGACCCGAGAGCCGCAGAGCCCGCACGGAGCGGTGCGCGGGATTACGGTCTGCGCGCTGGAACCGGGAGGCGGGAGAAGGATTAGTAGGGAAGGGCAGAGGGAGCGGGATTTACCAGCTTTTCAGACATGCATTACGGCTTTTTATAATATTTCACTGGATTGTCCAGGACTTTGCCTGGCTACAACAGGGGTTCCTCGGCCATAAAAGAAAGGTGAGGTTTTTCTTCTTTTTCTCACGGTTGCAGTACCTGCCTCTTCGAGCCGTGTGCCAGCTGGCCTAGGCACGAGCAAAAACCGGACAACTTTTTGCAGAGGCTGAGGTATCAGCGTTCATTGCAGTCTCAATGGCTGTTTGATTTATTAAATTTATCCACAGCACCTAAGTAGACGGGGCTTAGTGGCATTATTTATAAAGACTTCAGTTTGGTCTCGAGATGCCCTTTCCCCAAGCATCCACGGAACATTAAGCTTGAAAAGTCAGCATGGATACTGCGAGTATGTTTGTGTCAGCCTGATCAGGCAGGCTGGAATGCTCAGCTTCTCCAAACAGTTTCTGGAACATCACTGTGCTGAACAAATACACTCTTAACAACGTGAATGTTGCAGGAATTCATATATTGAAGGGTTTATGGAAGATACGTTTTAAACACCTATGATTTAGTTACAAAGCTGTATGTTATTTTAATTCAAGTAGATTTCCTTGCACACAGGAAAGATCTCATCTCTAGCTCCTGTGGGCTAAAGCAGACATCAATATATGGTAGATTTGTTATAACATTCTCATGCAAAACTTCAGCCACAGACCATATAGGGGCTTTTGGAAACTGCAGATCATCATTTGCTGGGTACTTGAACTTTTAATATCAAAGGATATACATCATGCATGAATGCTTTACTATTGACAAAATACTTTCAAGGCTCAGGAATAGTTTGCTGAAAGCTCTTGGTTTATCAGCCTGTATATCACCTCTGGAGCACACATCCCTCTGCAGAGAATGCACACACACATATGTGTGTGCAAGTCTACCTCTGAAACAGGGGTTTGCATATGCCCACATCTTTTCCATACTGGTGTGGAATCAGTTCTCCTGATTCCTGCATTATCACTGAGCTAAGTAAAACGTATGGGATTAGTGCAGAAATACCATGTCACCACAGTGTGCTCTCTACTCAAGCTGTCTCTGAGCACTTTCCAAGTCACACTGTTCCACAACAAGCCTTGCTGGACCAGCTGCCTCCCATAGACTCCTCTGCATCACTCACCTCAGGCTCTGGGCTCACCAACAACATTATTGTCCAGATTTACACCTATTTATGATAAAAAATTGGTCTCAAAAAGTGGACTATCTGGTGAAAGAGCTGCTGGGACTGAATTTGCACAAGTTAGTGCTGACTCTCCAGCCTCAGGCTGCAGCTCTGCTCTGTGAGATTACCTTTCCCTTCCAAAGCTGAATTATCTGTCACTGTAAAACACCTCCCATATTGAATACAGGAGGTATAATGTATGTTTTGTGTTATTTTCAACTTGATTTGACTAGTTTATGGACTACAGAGTTTTTTCTCTGTCTTCCTGCTAACTCAGCATAAAGATTTTTTTTCTGCCTTTTTTAATCACCATTCAGTATTATTTAAAAGTTTTAACACAGTCTCAGCATCAAAGATAACTTTGCAATTTGATTACATATTGTAGCAAACACACTTGTAGCAAGCAATGGTAAACTTGCTGGAAAGCCCTCTCAAGCTGCAATGCTTGCCACCACGGCCTGCGGAGAAAGGGGTGCTTTTACCTCATTTCTAGCTTTTTGACAGACCTTACACGGAGATACGTGTGTCGGGTGAGCACAAACCCATCCTCTAGCAAGAAGAACTTTCTAAGTTGGAAGAAGTACTTGAAGAAGTGCCTACTGCTTCCAGCAGCCCTGAGGATGAGGCCAGATCCTTTGGGAAGGCAGCTGGCATGGCACATCAGGGCTGCCTGAAGGTCCCTTCCCTTCTGTCTCATCGGTCACTCCATTGCTTTACTGAAAATCCCTAGACCATAAGCTTCATTTTGATGGAAAAGGGGTGAAAGAGTTAGTTTCTAGAAATATTTAAAAGCCAAATTATTTTCTAAATCACAGTGTTGGAGGTGACTTGAAAGGAAACAAGGAAAACACCTTTTCTCATATTTAGATGAAAACCCTCAGCAGGTTCTGCAGCAGCAGAACTGACTGATGTGTGTTCCACGTGGAGGGTGACACAGGCTGTGCCCGAGCAAAGCAGGGGCACTAACTCATCCTCAGCCTTGTGGGCCCAAGCTGGATGTTCCTGCCTCAGAGCAAAGAACAAAAGCAACCTGAGTTTTCCCCTTACCTTGCAGAAAGGGCAGGGATGAGAAGAACAGAGAGCAGCAGAGCGGGCACAGTGGCAGCAGGAGCCGTGGGCACAGCAGGAGCGGGACGTGGGGCACAGCAGGAGCGGGACGTGGGGCACAGCAGGAGCGGGACGTGGGGCACAGCAGGAGCGGGACGTGGGGCACAGCAGGAGCAGGACATGGGGCACAGCAGGAGCGAGTGGGACGTGGGGCACACCAGGGCTGTGCCCTGGCCCTGCCTGTGCAGCACAGCTCGTGCCCTGCGACAGAACCCACACACGTAGGGCTGTCAGGAGAGATGCCTGCCCAGGGCCAGAGCTGGAGGGTGCTTCTGCCTCCAGCTGAAGCCAAATGCTCTTGAAAGGCCAGATTGTGAATTCTGGATGGGTCTCATTCGAGCACTGCACCATAACTGCCAGAAAGGTCAGCGACCGGGTTGTCGTCCACAGCAACATGAAGGACATGAATATTATAGTAACTCTTCATCAAAAATTTCCCCTCTTTTTGGTGAAAGAATATCCAAGGAAAGGTGATGGAATCACAAAATCACCTTTCTTTCCTTTGCCTGAATTCCTCAATTATATTGTCACTGAGACAATTCCACATGACACTTTCTTAAGGAGTTAGAAAAAGTAACAAAGGACCTGAACCAAAATTGATCAGCATCAACCTGTATCCTGATTTGGGTGGATTTTGGCTGAAGACAGTAGAGCACGAGGATGTTTCTTCTAAGCTTCACTTTCAGCATCTGCCACTTTCCACAGTTTAATTTTTCTCTCTTTTCCCAATATTTGGAAACTGGAATAATAAAGAATTTCTCTGTCAATTCCACTCAAGGTATGAGGGAAGAGCTCAACTTTGTTGTCTTTTCTAACCCCTTTCTCAAACCTGGAGAGATGCTCTGGGCACATATGAAAGCACGGCTACAAGGAACACTCACTGTCAGCTGTCTCAGTTTCTCAGGATGATTTCAGGTATCGGAATAAAGGGAACTGCAAATACTTGACAGGGTCCCAGCATCAAATTTGTGGCTTTTTAAGAGTTTTACTTCCTATGTGCATTCACGCAGTATGATGTTTCCCTTGACTTTCCAAACTGCCTTGAGAAAAAGGCAGTGTGTATCCAAAGAAAAGGCTGTGAGCCAGAATCCTTCAGCTGGGGCCTAACTGACTGCACTTGTCCTCAAAGAAAGCTGACAAAAGAAAGGAGAAATGTGGAAGAGGGATGGATTTTTCTAAAAATAGTGTACGTGAGTCCAATTCCCTTCAGTTTACAATAGAAAACATCTTGCTTCCATGCCAAGAACTCTGAATTTGCAAAATCCTGCTGCTCTTTAGACAAGACCAACTCTTGATGAGCTGCAGCCATCAATGCAGCACTGACCTGAGCTTCTGCATTGAGCACATATCAAGGGAAAGCCCTCACATAAGCAACTCTTCACCTTCAAGTCTGGGGCTGTTTTTCAGTGTCTTCAGCCTTTACCAGCATTCTTGGCATCACTGAAAGTATTCAGCCTTCCCTTAAGAATTCTGTAACTGCTCCTTGAGCTAGGAGAGCAGAATTGCCAAGAGCTTTACCATGTTTCTTTTATTTCTCTTTACGAACCCATTAACACAGCTGCCTAGTGTGATATCCTCTGTTACACTTTGCAAGATCATTTTGGAAGCAAGGTACTGACCTGCTTTTCCTTATAGCAACTTTCCGGTGGCAAGGGATTCTTTCCCTGCTGAAGGCCCAGGACCCAGTGGATCTCCCATGCTTCCACTCACCATCCCCCAAGCTGATACTTGCCAGTGCTAATTACTGCCCTTCTCCCTGGCCCCACCAGCCCTGCAGCCTGTGCAGCATTAACCCTTTCATCACCTTCTTCACCTAGAGAGCTCCTCTGCCATTTAACAGTTCTCATTGTTCATCTCAAACTCCTTTCAATTACAATTTTATGATTTTACAAACAATTCCTAATTAATATGGTCCTAAACACTTTTGGCTCTGAGAACTGATGAACAGAGGACTGCTTTTCTTCTGTTTCACTGCATTCATTTTAAGTGAAACATGCATGACAAAGATAAATGATGCATTTTCTATTACCAGATACTAGTTCTTTCCTTCTTACTCTTCCCTGTTTAATATCATCATCAAAAGTGATGCACTTGAATTCTTCTAGGCATACTTTGACGATATTGCAATATGCAGTTTATGGAAAAATCAAATGACAGTTTTTATGTCAGTAGCACCCTCTGCTATTTCCCCACTAAAAAGCAACATTTAATTTTTGAGTTGCACGTTCGTAGCAGTCTGTGGGCAGAGACTCTCCTTATTTATTTGGTTGGATTTTACTACAATGCACTGTCATGGCAACTGCTCTAAGGGCGAGTGCATCTGGAGGTAATTCATTCACATCATGTTGAATGCAGCAAAATTGCCTTATACCATTTAAACTTTTTCAGCCACTGGGCAAGGGCAAAGTTACCCTTTTGAGACATAGAAGCAGCTTTTCCTTAGTAAATAAATAAATAAACAAACTTGGCGGAGCAACAGGAGCAATGCCAAACATTTCTTTGTGTTTGGGCACAAAGCCTGCTGCACAGTTAAATTAGGTCTGATACCTTGGGTGTTTTCTCCAGTTCTGCTGATGCACAGCAAGTTTTCCATCCTGCTCATGTGGAGGTGGACACACACACCCTACCACAGCACTCTTTGGGCAGGTGGTGGCCAGACTGGCCTCCCCTGGCTCCAGGAAACATTGCCACATGCTGCCTGGGCAAGTGGCAGATCCTCTCATCCTGGGGATGGTGCAGCCTCCAGCTGTTCCACTCTACACCACTGCAAACATGGACAAACTACCCAAATCCACTGACCAAGCACACACTGATGTTAAAAGAGACTGAACTGGGCCAGTGAAGCCTAACATGCCCAACCTCTGCTACACAGCCTCAGTGGCCCTTCTCCAGCCGAGCTGCCACTCTGGGCACGGCTTGATGAGCCCAAAGGCTGTGGCTGCTGCAGCACAGCCTCTCCAGTGCCAGAACAGTGCATCTGAGAACCTGGGCTTGAAGCATCTCTCACTTTGTCAATAAACCAAAAGAGCTGTGAAACCCTGAATTACTGCAAATCTGATCAGTTTATCTGGCCTCATCTTGCTGCTGGGGGGGGGGAATCTTAAACCTTTTGAAGTCCTGTGTGACTGCAGCCGTTGCCATCTCCCCGATGAGGCTTTGCAGCAGTGTTTTACCACCACTTTATAGTGCAGATGACACCTCCAAGAGCAGGGTGTGCCCAGCCCTCAGCTGCTGAGGCAAACAGCCACCTGCCCACTGACCCAGCCTTCCCTCAAAGTACTGCTGGCTGCAGGGAGCACGGTCATTCCCAGCCCAAATTCCAAGCTAATATCTGCACGTAGCTTGCTTTCAGATCAGACAGCCTCCATTGGGAACAGCTCAAGTTTCCAGCAGCTCCATGGCAGGAACAACTAGTGAATCGAATCCCACCTATGCTCAGAGACAGTATTTCTTCAGATGAATTAGCGCAGTAACAACTTGCAGGATCTAATTAGGGCTAATTTTCTATTCATCTGTCTTGGTACTTCTGACCCTTTTACTGCAATGCTTGAGCACTCACAACATTGATCAGAGATTTTCAATAATTTAAGTTTGAGGGTCAGCTCTTCAGCTGGTGTAAATCAATGCATTTTCTTTGGCTTTGAAGGGAGGTGTGCAACTTCTGTAGTGAGAGCAGTCAGAATTCACTGCAGATGTACAGCCTGGCAGTGCTTCTCACCTGCTCATGCTCCCGAGCCCTTAGAGAAATAAGGACATAGAATATTTTTACTCAGTCCCATACAACTAAAATCAGCACATGAACTTCAACAACAACAACTTAAAAAGTACCTAAATCAGGTCTTCAAGGCCACCTAAATTTTAGGATTAGAGACAGGGACTCCTGCCTTGTGACAGCTATGTTTAAGAATCAAGGCTGAAAGGTCACACAAAAGGAATTCAGGCTCAACTGACAAAAGACTCAGCTGAGCCTTAATTAGTTTTTGTCCTAGAAGTTCTGAACCTTTGGTTTTGGTTGTTGTTTAAGACAGAAAGAATTTGCCCAACCAAATGAAAAAGGGAATGGGTGGAGACTTAATTGGCAACATTTATTTAATAAAGAGGCATAAGTGAATATCCACAAAACTTTCAGTCAGATACTGAAACAAGAAATACCAGTAAGCAGACATTCATTGAGAGGACTGTGGATTTCAGGAGTGTGCCCCAATTGCAAGCTAAACAAAAGCCGTAATATTTTCTTTTCTGGAAAACACTGCATATTTTCTCAACACTTGCCTGGCTCCACAGAGAAGGGATGCACTGGGAAAACAGGAACTTATGGGGAGATGCCAGCTTTTATTTGCCATGGGAGGTTAAAGGTTCCCTAGAGCACAAAGGAGCTTTTCTTGCCCAGACAATCTCATCGTGATACACATCAGCACAACTAAAGCTGCAAAGCTCAGCAGCAGTCAAGAGAGATCTGCTGAACTTGAGATGAAATTTTTTCAAACATTCACTACTTTTTATCCACACGCATCCGCACATCAATAGTTGGCAATATGAATCTACTAAAAAAAAAAAAAAGGCAGGATCTCTGGTTTTTGATAAAGCAACATGCACAACAACTCCCCGAGCTCTGTAAATACAGAACCCCCAAGTATCCTTCCAGCATAAAGCCCAACTTCATTGTGCTGCACAGAGATTAATAATTATTATCTTATCTATTGTGAGTTAATGCAATTTCTTTTTTCCTCCCACACACCCACACTTCAGTTTCCTTCTGATCTGCATTTGTAGCTCAGCTACTGTTTAGCTGAAAGGAAGGAATCTGGTAATACCTCTGTAAAAAGATGCCTGTACTGTGGCTGCCTGTTCAGCCAGTGACAAGGGATGGAGATGCTGGCTACTGACAAAAGAAAATAACTTCCTTTCCAATCGTCTCGAGATAAATAATCTCACCATAAAGGTATTTTTTGTGCATTCCAAGGAAAGAGAAAGGAAAGAAAAAAAGTCTGAAGATCTGAAACTCACTTGTACTCAATCAATTGTTCTCATTGGATTATAGTTCTTAATGTACATAATTATAAACAACAGATGGAGAAATGCTCATCTAAAGTCAAAAGGGGTGGATGGATGGGGGAAAGTGACCCTGATGGTGCATATTTTCAATTTGGATGTGAACCAGCCTTCCTCCCCTTGGTAATTCAGGTTTCAGCATCGGCTGTTCGGCAGGACATGATGAAGGCATCACCCTGGGAACGTACAGAGACCCTGGGCCAGCCTGGTGCCTGAGGCTGGTGGCAGTGCTGCACCAAGCTGGTCTCTGCTGCAGCTGGCTGGGAAGAAGCTTTTCATCGGAGGAAGGCACCAAAGTGATGGGCTGAACTTATGGGAGGAATGAGCATCTGGTCAGGTGGAGATTCAGGGACCTGTCAGGAGGCGTGAAGGGCCCAGTTTCAGTAAGGGCATGGCCAAAGCTTTCTTCAGGCTACAGAAGTTTCTCCGTCGGACCCAGTTTCTGCTCTTCTTCCTCACAGCAGCTTACCTGATGGCTGGCAGCCTCCTGCTGCTGCAGCGGACCCGCCTGGTTATCCAGCAAGGTTCACACGGGACCTCCTCTAACCAGGCCCTGACAGTGCCAGATGAGACACCCGGGGTTGGGATGGCAGAGCCCAGGGCTCTGCAGAACCCCCGCCCTGCTCCCAGGCTGCTGGTGGGCATGGATGCGCTGCAGGAGCCGGCCCTGGACCAGCAGCACAGCCCACGCTGGCTCGTGTCCCGCAATTCGGAGCTCAGGCAGCTGAGAAGAAGGTGGTTTCACAGGTTCATCAGCAACCAGGAGCCCATGGAGACAGCAGGATTTAAAGTGATCAAACACACTGCTGAACACAAAGGTAAGGGACGTACCTTGCACATTTTCTGGCACGCACATAAACTGCACCTTGCACGTCCCAGGCAGACACAGGTGAGCACCACAATGTGTCCCTGCAGATGTGCCTTCCTCCTTGCTCATCACTACTTTCAAAACAGTTCTTAGGCACGTGCACATGCCAAAGTACAAACCTAACCTCCCTGGTCATGCTGAGCTGTAACTTCCTCCAAAAAAGTAATTTTATTGATTGAATGGAAGCCCAGACAGTGCAATGTGCTTCCCTTATTTAAATTATTTTCTCTTCAAGCAGGCAGAGATGACCATTTTAATTGATTTTCTTTCTCAGAAGAGGGAACACTTTAAAAGTGGATTTTATCAGATTAACTATCCAAGACCACACAGTACCATAAGTCTAGAAGTGCCTCCTTGCTGCTAAAGCTAAAACTAAATTCTACTATTGCAAATGCATTCACTGTTCCTGACCTGCCCTCTGTGAGCATCTCTGCAAACACTCTGTCCTCTGGGGGACATGAGGTGAGTCATCAACCCCCCCAAACTGGAGACAGACTCCTGGGGTTTGACAAGTTTGCTGAGAATGTCCAACAGGGCAAGGGACCGCAAGGAGAATTCACACTGCTGCATGGGCACAGCACAGCAGTGCCCAGAAAACATGGTACAAACCCGTACCATTTCCAATTCAAATGGAAAGGCATTCCAGTTTGACAGAAACATGAGTTCACTGTGAGTCCGACTCTGCTGCCCTAAGCACTGCTGGTAAATACCCCTTGGGTTGGGTCAGCAGGAAGAATTTTAAGAAACTATTATCCAGAGCAAGCAAAGAAGCAAAACAGGACTCTAGTTGTTCACATTTCCTGAATGGCTTTACACCCTCATGACCACGCTGAGAGTTGCATCATCCAGGCACGTTTGGGCCGGCACAGCTCGACCAGGCAGCACAAAGCCCGTGGTGTTGGGCTGTCACACAGCTGAGCTGGAGCCCTAAACCTGCCATCACACCCCACGGCTGAGCGTTCCCAGGGAGCAGAAAAGGCCCCTGAGGAGCCCACCACAGGAAGCACCAGGATCTGCCCTGGGTGACTGCCATGCCCTCGCTGCAGCATCAGAGTGTGAGTTTGCAGTCTTTGACACATTGCCTTTTAGAAGAACTAGTTGTTCTTGGAGATGTTTCACTGATAATAAAGCAGGAATGGGATCTGGATGACTAGACACCACATTACTAAACTGCTTTTTAGTTTGTTGAATAAATTTACTCAAACAAAAGAGCACCTAATCCAAAAATCCCACAAAATGGGTGCCTCATTGTGATACCTACCGAGGGAATTGTCAGAAATGGGAGAGAGAAGGCAATAGTGGTGGTTGTATGGGAGATGAGTCACACAGTGTGAGTCATGCAGACTGAACCACTGGAGCTACCTGAACCACTGGAGCTGCTCCACGGACACTTTAGAACACCCTGTTGGTAGCAGGTTTTGGTGGCAGAGGAGAGAGTGAGAGCCACTCAGCCAGGGCCTTGCTCAGGTTCTAACTGCTGATGAGAGGGGCCACCCACCATATTGAAGTGTAGATTCAAATATGCATCATTTGAATATCTGACTGAACATGAAGTGACATTATTAATAACACTATTGTTAAGAAGCTGGATCAGCCTTTGAAGATTATCGATTAAAATTTAACTACCTACGTAGAGCATGTTACCTTCCCCAACTCGCTTCTAGTAAACTTAGATGCTTGTTATTTTGTTATCTCTTTCAAGATCTAATGAACTCCTCCGTGGTTATAACGCTTATTAACGTTTCAGTGATGCCCTGTAGTTCCTGCTCAGTGAAGCAGCATTGCCTGACTGTTGGAGGCTGGGCTTGTGCACTCCTCAGTGGTGCCATTCCAAAAACACCCTGGCTCTGATGCAGCACAGCTGCTTTGCCCCTGCTTGCCCAGGGGCTGCCAGCCAACCCTCCGTGTGCCTCCCCAGGCAGACCCTTAACCCAAGACAAAAACAATGGCATCTGACCCAGCATATTGGGAACCTCCCAGCTCACTTTGCCTTGCTCTGACTCCACCCAGGAGCACACAGAGTTGGGTGAGAAAATCCAAGTCCTTTTTTTTTCTCCAAGTCAGGCTCCCACCTGTTGACACTGCAAGTAGCTTAGGGTAGGGACCTCATCTTTTCCTGCCAGGGACACTGGCAAACACTGTCAGTGTCAAATGAGAGTTTTCTGTTCCAAGTGCTCACAGCAGATGGAGTTTTACAGTTTCTCCTGGCCTGGTTCTGCCATTGCACAAGATGCAGAGGTGACAGGGACTGGATCGCTGACATGACATGAGATGTCACTAAGACCACGACTCATTCATAGGAGGATGTGAGTGAGAAACCACTGCTGGGCTGGCAGTGGCATGGGAGGGACACGGGAGGAGGGTGGACAGTGGCTGCCCTGCCTGGGACCCCCACTCGGGCTCTTTGGCCCCACAGCCTCAGTTTGCTGCTGCTTTGAATGGAAATACCCAAATCAAAAGCCAACAGTGAAATGTGGAGCACCCTCGCTGGAAGTGCATGACTCCCACCTCATTAACAGCGTGCTGGAGTGTGTGTTCACAGCTTGTGAATTTTCTAATTGCATGTTGGCAAATTACTGAGTGTAGGTCTTTGAAGCTACTGTTGCGTTTGTAATATTTAAATGTTTGATTTATTATTCCTGGCTCCAAAATCCATGTTAGAGTGGCTGAAACTTCCTTTTTCTTGTGAATTATTTTATTGCTAATATTATGCTTTTTAGTTTCATTTTTCATCGTATATTCTTTTCCTGTCCACAGCTTAGATTAGTTAATTTCCCTGTGCTATCATCTCAGTGTTGCTACTCTTAAAATCAAATTTCCTTTTTTCTTTCATATTTTAATGATAAAATGTACTTACAGACACACAATTGCTGTGTAATAGTGGGATGCCACATCATCCTTCCAATCGTATATTCAAAAATAGGCTGGATTTTTATAGTATTTTGTTCACGACAACAAAAAATAGGCTGAATTGGATGCAGTCTAAGAGAAACATTCATCTTTCATATGCTAAGTAAAGCGAGACGAAGAGATTCCTTTGCACCAGAGAGGAGACAGCTCAATGCATGGCACTGCCTAGTTAAGACTGAAGTTTTCTTTCCATTACAGTTTTAATATACCCAAAGAAAACTGATTTTCTCAATATTTTTCTTGCCCTATATCATTACCAACTAGAGATTTAAAGAGCACTTGGGAGAAATCCAACAAGATTTCTGGAAGTTTTTACCATTTTGAAGACTACATTCTCCTTTACTTTAGAGAAGTGCCATGTTTCATCTCCCAAGGGAGGGAGTCAAGCAGGCAGCATCTGCCTGCAGGAGCCGCGGTTCCGGGGGATCGTGGACTCCAGGTGTGCAAAGGCAGGTCTGCTGAAAGGAATCTGGTGAAAGTCTCATTTCCCTTCAGCGCATTTCCATGGGACAGTCACACTGACCCCTTCAATACACCTGCCAAGATTCAGCACCAAGGGAGAGCTCTGCAGAGCAGGTGGGACCCCGGGCAGGTTGGGACTTGACTGAACACAGCCCTGCTTGCAGCGTGTGGTGCTGGATCGGCCCTGTATGGGTTTTTCCCTTCCCCCCTTCTCCATCCCATATGCGTTGCCTAACCCTGGTCTTGCATGCACACAGGCACCTACATAGGATGCTTCACCGACGATTCGAGGGAGAGGACACTGAAGGGAGCTGTCTTTTATGACTTAAGAAAAATGACAGTAGCTCACTGTCAGGAAGCTTGTGCTGAGAGGTGAGTGGTACTTTTTCACTGCAAGTTTTCTCTCTTCTGATAATAAGTGGAACTGAATTTGAAATGGGAAAAGCATTTCTACATTAGACATACAGCATCTGTAAAAACGGTAATTATCTCATACCTTCAGGCATGGCGTAGCTCTGCTACCCTGCTTGAAGCAGACCATTGCACTGCTGCCTATTCTCTATGGCAGCATAGCTACCTACAATATATTTTCCTTGACAAAAATTACCGTTTGGTTAAATAGTCTTTGTTAGATACCTGTCTTTTGATAGATACTGGTCTCTAGCCCAAATCTCAAGCTGGCTGCCTCTGTCAAGGAGGCCATGCTGTCCCTGGGGCAGACTCAGCTCTGGAGCGGGGCAGCAGAAGCTCACACCATACACAGGGACATGCTCCTGCCTCCCTTAGGTACAAAGTGGGGAGCAGACGGGTGCCTCTGTGACAACGCCTGGTTTTGCTCCTTGCAGGGCTTACACCTACGCGGGGCTGGTGTACGGAGCAGAGTGTTACTGCGGGAACACCCTCCCGGCCACCGCCTCCAGGCCTGAGGAGTGCAACAGCGAGTGCAAGGGGGAGAAGGGCTCTGTGTGCGGAGGGGTGAACCGGCTCTCGGTCTACAGGGTGGAGGAGCTGCGGGCAGGAGCCAGGAGACGTAAGTGGGTGTGGGACCGAAGAGGGGAGGCCACTCACCCCATGGGAGAGATGTCAGGGCTGGGCTGAGCACGTTGGTTGTCCCCGCTGATTGTCTCACTCTGCTTGTCACTAGAGTTTGAAATGGCAAAGGACAAAGGTGCCTGCAGGGCACAGCGTCCATTTGCTGCTGGTCTGGTCCCTCGCTCCCTCCCCAAAATAGCAGCGCTGCTCTCTGCCCCAGAGCAGGGAGACTGCCTGGCACAGCTGCCTCGGGACTGCCATGGAGGAGGTTGGTGTCACCAGGGATGAAACACAATGCAGTGCAGAGCACTCCCTTTGGCACCCACTGCAGGCGGACAAACCCA